TTAAATATTCTTTACTTACTCATTGTTATGATACCAAGTGATGTCAAATGGAACAGTCGGATCATTTGATACTTTACACTGTAATGTTGCTGTGTGACCCAACAAAACTCGAGTATCAACAGGTGGTTGGATGATATGCGTTCTCACTGCCGTTAAACAGACAAAACACGATATCTTATGACTTATTTCAAATTATATGCATAAGCTCAATGTCAGTCTTCTCCGTTGTCACAAAACATAGTCTGGTAGAAACGTACTCATGTTTCTGAGGAGTTTGTTGCATCCATCGACAGAGCAATGACGTAGCAAGCACATCCAAAATGTCAGCAAAATCAGACTACATGTTGCTACAACGCAGAAGCCAGATACCTTCATATTCACAACTGTGAGAATCTGAAACCTTACTAAACCCAAACAATTCAAATACAAGTCCGCCTATGAGAATCTCAGTCACTGTCGATATTGCATGATGGTCACAAATTCCGTGCCTTTCCCTCACCTAAGACCGTCAAGTATGCTGAGGCATGCACGTCACCCGCCTCATTAGCGCGAACACATGTGTAGAGACCGGCATCACTCTCCTTCACTGCGGCAATCAGAAGATCACCTGGATCCAGCCAATGACGTAGCAAGCACATCCAAAATGTCAGCAAAATCAGACTACATGTTGCTACAACGCAGAAGCCAGATACCTTCATATTCACAACTGTGAGAATCTGAAACCTTACTAAACCCAAACAATTCAAATACAAGTCCGCCTATGAGAATCTCAGTCACTGTCGATATTGCATGATGGTCACAAATTCCGTGCCTTTCCCTCACCTAAGACCGTCAAGTATGCTGAGGCATGCACGTCACCCGCCTCATTAGCGCGAACACATGTGTAGAGACCGGCATCACTCTCCTTCACTGCGGCAATCAGAAGATCACCTGGATCCAGCACCTGCAGACGCCCTGATGCCTCGACTGCTTTGTTATCTGAAAAAAGAAACCCCACGGGCTGTCTCCTCAGGACACCTGCACTACTTATGTAAACGGCTACACACGCGCACGTAAGTAAATGGCATACCAAGTGCACGTTCTTCAAAGACTGATGTAGACAAACAGAAATAACTTTATCACGTGAATCTGAGGCTACTCTTCCGTTCTTTGTTTCCATATTCTAACCACAGAAACTCATTTTCTCCATAAATAAATACAGATATAATTTTTCAATTCAATTAAAATTTTTAGACTAATTTTTGTCCTTACATTCACCCTCTGATTTAGTACCAGTAAATAATAATTTACTACTAATGTCATATTCTTAAATCTACTTACACGCT